GCATGCCTGTAATTCCGGCTACTCGGAAGGCTGAGGCGGAAGGATCGCTGGAACCCAGCAGGCCGAGGCTGCGGTGGCCGGGAGCGGCCACTGCACTCCAGTCTGGGTGACAGAGTGAGACAAAAGAAATCACAGAGAATGTTACACAGAGAGACAAAGAATAGAAAACATAAAAAAGCTATTGAGTTAAGGAAGATAGAATGAAATTTCAATGTATTTCCAGAAGAAAAGAAGAGATTAAAAATGGTGAAGCCTAACATGAAGACACATAATAACTAAAAAATTTTTCCAGTATTAATTAAAGAAAAAAAACTAAATCCTCTAATCCAAGATGGCAAACAAATCCCAAACAAGTAAAACTGAATCCATACTTAGATGCACACAGCAAAACTACAAAACATTAATGACAAAGAGAAGGTCAAAAAAGCAGTTAGGAAGAAAAGATTTCTCAGATGCAATAACAACAATACGATACATAAAAGAAAAAAATCAATAGATTATTCTTCATCAAAATCAAAAACTTCTCTTCAAAACACATTGTATTTTAAATAAAAAGAAATTTTATTCAGAATGTGCAACGAATTCTCAAGTCAATTAGGAAACAAATGACCCAATTTTTTAATGCAAAAATATTTGGGCAATTACCAAAGAAAATATGTGGATGGTAAATAAGTATATGACAAAATGGTCAACACTACTAGTCTTTAGGAAAATACACATTAAAATCACAATGAGATAGCAATATATGTCTATGAAAATGTCTAAAATGAAAAAGAATGACTATACCAAGTGTTGACAAAGATATGGAAGAACTAGAAGATTCATACACTGGTGTCAGTGGGGAATGTAAAATAGTACAACAATGAAAAACACTTCGGCAATTTCTTTAAAAGTTTAACATCCACTTACCATATGATCCAGCCACCATTCATAGTATTTTCCCAAAAAATATAAAAGCCTATGTCAAAAAATACTTGCACAAGAATGCTTATTAGCAGCTTTATTCTTAATAGTGCCCACCTGGAACAACCCAAATGTACATTAGCAGGCCAATGGATAAACAAAGTGGTTTATCTATACAATTAAATACTATTTGCAATTGAAAGAATGGAATATCGACATCTGGTTGTATCTGAAAATAATTACGAGGAGCAGGTTAGGACCAAAAAAACAAAAACAAAAACAAAGAATGCCTATTGCATGATCCCATGTATGTAAAATTCTTTAAAATACAAACTAATACATAGTTACAGATAGCAAATTAGTGGTTGTCTGGGGAGTGGAGGATGAGGGAGAGCAAGAAGAGTTTGGGTTCAGGATCACAAAGAATCATTAGAAAATTTTGAGGGCAATGGACAAGCTCATTATCTTGACTATGCTGATTGCTTCGCTGGTACAAAATTATATCAAAACTTACCAATGTGTACCTTTTAAAATGTGCAAAATCTAACAAATTGTACACTTTAAATATATCAAGTATACCACAGGAAAACTGTTTTAGATGGTCATAAAAGAAGCATAATCACTAACAGATGTGTAGTACAAAAGACAACTTTCAAATTACCAAGATGCTGAAAGAGGGAGAGAGACAGAGAGACAGAATTAACCGATCTAGCTCTTTGCACTCGGAGACATCTTGCAGATAAAATACCAGAACTCAACCACCACTTTTTTAAGAAGTAGTGAAAAATAAATAACTTCATATTAAATAGAATAGCATTGAAACCAATTTTTTTTGTAATAAATTTGGTTGTTCGTGAAATTTTGGACATTAAGGAATTTATTTATGACAAAAATTTAAATTTTATATCTGATATTTTTCTAACGTGGTAGCGTGTGAAACAGTCACCAAAATTCATTGCAGGTTCATTGATGCATGCTGTGCAACAGTAATTTGTTTCACATCTTCCACCTGGAGTTTTCTTAGTCCGGCAAACAATGGAATTTCATTTATTTCCTCCCACATTAATAATATGTAATTTATTGTCCTGTCTGTTGTTGAAGACGATGTGGAAGGACATTCTCTTTCAACATAATGCTAGCTGATTTTTTAAATGTATATCACAGTATATATTCTATCTCTTTATTTGCTTTTTCATGCAATTTGAATGGAAAACTTCAAGAAATATATATTTTTGAAAAATTTGTGCTGACATAAATTTAGTATAATCACCAGAAATTTCTTTATGTCCACGTGGTTTGCTAAATTTATGATGTCCCTTCAGAGAAGACATCGGAATGCAAAGGGCTAACAAAGCAAAGTGGAGTACAGGAAAAATTAAAAAGATAGGAAGAAAGTATAGTAAAGAGACATATAAAATGAAATTTTAAAAATATGATCAAATACGTAAATTATCACTTTTAACCTCATCTCAGCCTCTGCTTCCTGGACAACCTAACTAACATGCCTGGTCCAATCTTTAGGTTTTCTGATTCAACAGGTCTACAGTGTGTTTGGAAATTACATATACTGTTATTTTCTCGTGTGATTCCAGTGTTCAAGTACGTTTCACCCCCTAAGTGAAAATTTTCATACATTTTCTGTACAATATAATTTAACCTTTATAAGCCATCTTGTAGTTTTTGCCATAGTGTCATCTGATGTGCCTGTTTTGACATTATAAAGTTAAGATGTAAGCACAGTTTTGTCTTATTTTGTTTACTGCAATATTTTACAGAGAGTTTTGCATCTAATTATGAGTCTCCTCTCAGAGATAAAGAATTAACAAACTTCAAGGACAGTATTATGATGTCTATTATGAATACTGCTTGGTAATATTTATATGCAGAAACTTAATGGATTGGGATTTTTTGACAAAGTCAAATGGTTTATTCAACATATCATGTGCCAAGTGTCTTCATATTAGCTTACATCTTAAATAGACCAAAAAAATCTCTGCAAGGATAAAGCCTAGAGTAACCAAAATGTCTGGAGGGAGAAAAATATATTAATGAGACAAAATCGCTGTCTTAAATGTCTCAGTTGATCTAATCAAGAAAGAGTGGATTTTGTGTTCATTTCTATCATGATGAAAAAACTTGTAATGTTTTTCTTGTAATGGAACAAACTTATTTTTTCATAATTTTCATAATTAAAGTATATTTAATGATATTTTTAAATTATTAATATTTACGCATTTTCAATATTTTACTCCACAGAAAGAGGAGGATCACATCATCCCAGGGTCATTCTCTTATCACATTGATCATATTTTATAAATTCCTTAGGCCGAGATCAATGGCTTAGTCTGTAATCCCAGCACTTTGGGAGGCCGAGGTGAGTGGATTGCCTGAGCCCACAGGTTCAAGACACACCTGGACAACTTGGCGAGACCTCGTCTCTATAATAAATCAAAAATTAGCTGGGCATGGTAACACGCACCTGTAATTCCAGCTATTGGAAGGCTGAGGTGGAAGGATCGCTGGAGCCCAGCAGGGCAAGGCTGTGGTGGCCAGGAGCATGCCACTGTACTCCAGTCTGAGCGACAAAGTGAGACTCCAACTCAAAAAAATTCCTCCAAGTTCTCCACAGTGCTTATTTTGCTGATTATACAGCCTATAGACATTTGCTATTTGATAAATACTTCACAATAAATTGTACACCATAAACATACACAATTCCTATTGCAAAACCCTTAGGTATTAAATATTGCCACATCTGCAAAACCATTAGGTATTAAATATCAATACATCTATAAGGATATTATGAGATCAGAAGAAGCTAATGTCCTCACATATTCATTTGCTGTCTCACAAACATAACAAAAAATAAAACTCCATTTTTATTAAATAGTATAATTCTTATTATACTCTCATATTATATTAGTTAACCAGTTGAGAAACAGACATTGAAGAGAAAATTGAAACTGGGGAAGAGGGAGTCATGTAGATACTAAAATGCAAATTTAGAGAAAGACACAGTCAAACACTGTTGGGAGTAATATAAATTGGTACAATCTGACATATCCATAATACAAATGCACAAACCCTTTGACCTGACATTTTCACTCAAAAAATTATCTTACAGATATACTCAAACAAATACAAAGATATATATCCACAAGAAACATTCTTTGTGGTATGGTTTATGCAACAAATAAAACTTAAAGCAATCTAAATCTATCACCGAGATTGTTTAATTAAATTATTATATAATGATATCGTTTTTATGTAGACGTTAAAAAGAATGAGGTAGCTCTGATTGTGTTAATATAAAAATATATCCAAGTCTTATATTCTAAGATTTTTACAGTTCAGAACAGCATTACAGTATGTTCCCACTGGTGTCTTGACAAAGATATGTGAAGGCATATGCAAATAGACAAATATATGCACACACATCTGTATATACCATAGGCATATAGATATATCACATGTACAGATTTTACAGGAGGATACATAAACTGTTCATTGTTCCTTCTGTAGAGTTATTTCTTGAAGAAACTTGGTTTTCTTTTTCACTACATGGCACAGTTTGGATATTTGATCTTGAGTGTGTGCTTTCTATGTAATGATAACATCAGTTCTTCAGAGAATTAGCTAGTAGCAGCTAAGAATCTAAAATTCCAGTTATACAAGGATATAAATGAAAATCTATTAGAATGTCTTTGTCATCTAAGAACCTTTGAAAAACATCCCAGTACTTTGGGAGGCCGAGGTGAGCAGATTGCCTGAGTCCAGGGTTCAAGAACAGCATGGGCAACTTGACAAAACCTCATCTCTACATTAAATTAAAAAAAAAAAAAAATTAGCCAGGCGTGGTAGGTAGCTGGAAGGCTGAGGCGGAAGGATCACCTGAGTTCAGCAGGTGGATGCTGGGGTGGCTGTGAGCATGCCACTGCACACCAGTCTGCGCAATGGATTGAGACTCTAACTCAAAAAAAAAAAAAAAAAAAAAAAGAATTTTAACACAAATCTTTCATTTTATAAGTGTAAGAAAATCAAAACAATAATTGTAAAGTATCTTTGATTCATATTTTTTGGTCCTAGATTCCAATAACTTATAAAATTTGGAAACCTGTGCCATCAACTTCACTTTGTAACACCTGAGATGTCTTCACCTTGTTTGTAGTATCATACAGTGGATTGTTCCTTTCAGTGTAGCTAGCATAGGGCTGCATTTCATCCTAAGAAAGAACTCAAAGTTAAAATCAGTTCAAGAAATCATTATAGAAATTACCTGTGCCCACAGCTTTAGTATCTAACAAGAATGCTTGTATTAGTGTCTCTGGGCTGATACAAACATAGGAACATGGCTTTTTCTAATATTTTGTCAGAAAATATTTACTGATTACTTAAGTCTCTGAGATAACAGTTGTGAGAAAATAGGAATGGAGATGAATGAAGTAATATGAGAAGGATTTCAAAGGAGAAAGTCGAAGACTTATAAAGCTACTGGTTATAAGAGATCAAGGAGCAGGCTATGTTTCAAATCTGGGTAAGAAAGAAACGATGATTGTATTGAAAAAGGGAGGTCACAATTAGACATGATTTCATGTGGGAGGAGAAATCGATTCAGTTTCTCCAAAGATTCCAGTGCAAAGGAGACAAACATCATGTGTATTAGAATGCAGTTCATGATGTGAAAATGTGCATCTGGGTGGCATATAAATAGTACTTGATAGATAATTAACAAAATAATTACAATATTAGCATTGTAAGCCAGAATGTTTTAGTTTTACAAGTGAAACACTAATATTGATACAAATAACAAATTATGTTGCTGAATTTTCAGACTACATGGCTTAAAAGTTTGCAAATATTCTTATTTATCTTATCTTTCATCTTACCTCCTCAGCAGCTGCAGTAGGTTCTGTCTTTTGCAATTTACATTTTCTATGAAAATAAAAAAAGCTGGAGTAAATGAAGAAAACATCATTGTTCAGATTAATAATTTTGAAAAAGCAGTATGCTATTAACAATTGTGGTTCATACTTATAGAAGTCATAATAAATCAGAAAGAAACTATTATAAATGAGTGAAGAACACTGCTTGTGTTTAATACCCCCAAATAGGAAAAGTCTGGATTTTGGAAAAGTGAAATTATACAAAAGGGTGCAATTGAATATATGTGACAACCTCCTCTTTGATCCATACAAAAAAAATTTTAATTATTTTCACCTTAGCATAAAAACTTTAGCATGCAGTGACTCTCCCAAGATCCTGCCCTAAATGGCCTAATTCCCCATGCTTGCATGCCAAAGCACCTTAGCAAAATCCCTCTCAGCATTCAAAGTAGGCCAAGTTTAACATCTTCAAGATACTCTTCATGATTATGGTACATTTGATGTTAACAGCCTCATGTAGTCAATCAGTCAGTTCCATATTTCTAACTCTTTTCGAGTCCAACAAAGCTGAAGAGAAAAAGCATTCATCAGTCAATACCTGCAGTCACTGATTTTCAAAAAACAAATGGATCCCACGATGATCAAAATAATAATAGGAAGGATGATATAAATATATAATTTTGCTGATATTTTGGTACCTGTAACTATAGACATAAAAGTATATGATTCAAATGTAGTGTATTCCAACAATGAAACATTATTTAGCACAAAAAAAGAAATGACCTATCAAAGCTGTGAAAAGACATGGAAGAATCACAAAGGCATACGGCTAAGTGAAAAGCGCCAAACTGAAAAGGCGACAGATTGTATGATTCCAACTATATGACATCCAAACAAGGCAAAACTAGGAAGATAGTAAAAAAAAATCACCAGCTGTGAGAGGTTTAGGGGGAGGGAGGGATAACTAAGCCGAGCACAGAGGACTATTAGGGCAGTATGATGATTCTGTATGACACAATAATGGTTGATTCATATCATTAGGCATTTATCCAAATTCATAGAATGGATAACACTAAAGTGAACCCTAACATAAACTATGGACTTTGGGTGGTAATGTTGTGTCAATGTACATTAATCAATTCTAATAAATATAACACTGTGGTACAGGATATCTACAGTGGTAGTAGGGAGGTTGTGTGTGGATGGAAGCAGGGATTATATGATAACTCTCTGCGCTTTCCACTCATTTTTGCTCTGAACCCTAATGTGTTCTGACAGAATAAAATATATTTAAAATATATATATGGCTATATATATAAGGATGTCTCACAGTACATGAAACTCATTTTTGTAATTTTAAACACTGCTGACCCATTGCTAAAGAGTTGTTGAAATAAAATTACTTCATCAATTCAGACTCCAGAGTTCCCAACAAGACATCACCACATGTCAGGATTTTGTTGCTTTAAGGATTCACAAATAGTGAGTTCTTGTGAGAGAGAGATGAAATTGAGATCTCTGTTACAGTAGGAGTAGAGTGTTTCTCACCTCTAGCACTCGTAAATAAATGGGTAATTGTGCAAAAGTTAGTTGGAAAAGGAACCCTAATCGTGAAGTTACCTTTCTGCCAGGGCATTGAAACTAAAATGCATGTATGGCAGCAACTTTATTTATTAGCTGCTGGCAGCAGTATAAAGCTCTACCAGACAAGCGTGCAAGTCAACAAAGGAATTGCCAGTTCTAGCAGGCAATAATTTAAAACTTTGCTCCTGGCATGAATGCAGCTCAGGGGCAACAGAAGAAGCTGAAGTGGAGGCTAAGAAGGCTGGCATCCAGACCATAGTTGATGTTTTTAAGTATTGAATTTCCAGTATTTTATCTGAAAAATATGAGTGTGATCTGTTTAAAATCACACCATTCTTTAAACTCCCTTTCAAACTAATGAGTGCCCTCTCGTTGGACTTGTACTAGCAGAGGCAGAAGATCCACCAAGCAAGGAACACAGAGGAGACCCCTACACCACATGGGAGTTTGGACCAGAAAGTCCCATCTTTCCTGAGATGCTAGGAACATGCCATTATATTGTAATATTGGAGGGTGGGATTTTATATATAACCAAGGTACAATAACCCTTCTCAGGAAGTACTACTAATCTCTTTCAAAATAAAACAAAGCACATATCACTTAAATCATGGCTGTTGGAAAATGGTGGTTTCAATACATGGAGTTTTTTCTTCTCCTATCTCAAAACTCACTAAAACGTTAGTAGAGAAACATTTTAAAGTGGAGAGCTGTGAAGACAAAGAAAACAGGGATGGAGACAAGAATAGATAAAAGATTCCAACCTGTTTTTAAGTGAAAAATGAAGACAAGATTGAATAATGATTTACAAAATGGAAGAAATAGAAATATTAGTGCCCACAAAAATCCAGAAAGACTCTCAAGCAAGAAGCATCAAACATAAAAACAGGTGTATGAAGCCAGGCTCGGTGGCTTAGCCTGTAATCCCGCGCCTTTGGGAGGCTGAGGTGAGTAGATTGCCTGAGCCCACAGGTTCGAGACCCTCCTGGGCAGCAAGACCTCATCTCTACAATAAATCAAAAAATCAGCCGGGAGTGGTAGCGCATGCCTGTAATTCCAGCTACTCGGAAGGCTGAGGCGGAAGGATCGCCGGAGCCCAGCAGGTCGAGGCTGCGGTAGCCGGGAGCGGCCACTGCACTCCAGTCTGGGCGACAGAGTGAGACTCCGACTCAAAAAAACAAAAAAAAACAGGTGTATGTAGGGTGGTGACAGAGAAGTGTGAAGCTAAAATTTGAGAGCCCCTTGGAAAGACTCTATTGAGAACAGGAAGATCTCTCTGAGTCCTGCCCTACTGTGTACAGCACACCTTACCCAACCAGCAGAAGAAAGAGAGATTGGTCTAGAGAAGGTGAACTAGAGCTCCAGAGTCAAGAATCCAGGCATCATGGAGGGTGGGGATGAAATACTGGACCGAAAAGAGGCATTAAAGAAAAGTCTGAGTTCTCAAGAGAGGGATACTCATGTACACACTCACACATATACACAAGCACTCCCCTTTCCCTTCCAGAAAACTGATAGTCTGGGCTTATCTCTCCAGTACAAGAGACTGGAGAGTTATATTCTGCAGAGCCTGAACAGCCTCAGATAAATGACCTTCAGACACATAACAAATCCCCAATTTCAAAAAATCACTTAGGAGTAAGACGAGCAGTATAAGCGTGTTGTTTAGAAAATGGCAGTAATAGCTGGAAGAAACACTTAAAAATTCAAAAGTACTTTCCTCTTGAGAGTTAAGTGAGAATGGAACAGTAGGGTTAGAATAGCAAAGGTTTGGCAGCTTTTTGTCCATATGTTTTTATAGAACATTGTGTATGTTGATTAAATAATATTAAATATTTTAAACATAACAAGAAACAGCAGTAGGATGAGAGCAGAGAGTAAAGAAACTAAACAGTGATCAACTGAATTAGAGATGTTATTATAAGATATTTAAGAAATTCTACCAGGAAGAGCCTGGAGAAGAATATTCTATCAGACTAAAAATTCATAAAGGCAATTAATGAATGACTTTATCCTCCTAATAAAACCTAAGTGTTAGTTTCAAAGTATACTTTATCTTTCAATTAACTGTAAGTATTCATTTAAAAAATACTCCTTACGCCAATTAACTACTACTATAGAAGTGAACACTAAAAGTAGAATAAACAAATGCCTGCATTATTACTCTAAACATATCTCTTTATTATGGGGAGGGAGAAGATAAAATGAAAATAGGAGAGACTATCCTTTAACACAGTTTCTCTGCACACTTTGGTTCCTCTTAACATAACTTCTCAGAAAGAATGAAAAAAATCAAACACAAAACAAGAATTACTGACCAGGGTTCAGCTCTATGGACAGACTCTTGTTGCCAGTCAAATGGGAGACAGAGCAGGTCACAGTAGACACACTGTGGCCTTCCCAGTGGCATGTACTCTCAACAGTCACCGTGCCATTGCCCCAACCTTCTTGCTGAGTGACACAGTCTCCCTCTGGGGTCCAGGAGATCTGTGCAGCTGGCTTCCCAGCAACTGCCTTGCACACCACACTTCTGTTCTCACTTAGAAACAGGGTCGCTTCGGGGGAAACTGAAAAACAAAAAACTTTAGTCTTCACATAAGGGTTATGGATTTAGGGAGACATTTTTTTTTTTTTGAGTTGGAGTCTCACCCCGTCGCCCAGACTGGAGTGCAATGGCCGCTCCCGGCCACCGCAGCCTCGACCTGCTGGGCTCCGGCGATCCTTCCGCTCAGCCTTCCAAGTAGCTGGAACTACAGGCACGTGCTACCACTCCCGGCTAATTTTTTATTTATTGTAGAGATGAGGTCTCGCCAAGTTGCCCAGGCAGGTCTCGAACCTGCGGGCTCAGGCAATCCACTCACCTCGGCCTCCCAAAGTGCTGGGATTACAGGCTGAGCCACCGAGCCTGGCCTAGAGAGACATTTATTTCAGACAAAAATCATGTTGGCTGGGTGCAGTGGTTCACACATGTAATCCAAGCAACTCCTTGGGAGGCCAAAGAAGGAGAATCTTTTGAGTTCAGGAATTCCAGACCAGCCTAGGCAACATAGTGATACAATGTCTCTACAAAAAAAAACACAGAAAAATTAGCTGGGTGTGTGTGTTGGTGTGTGCCCATAGTCTCAGCTACTCAGAAAGCTGAAGCAGAAGAATCGTCTGAGCCCAGGAGAGCAAGGCTACAGTTAGTCGTTACCATGCCACTACACTCCAGTCTGAGTGACAGTGAGATTTTGACTTCAAAAAGAAAAAGAAAAAAAATCGAGTGAAGTGAAATACCACAATATATGATGCCTCTTACCTAACACTTGGAGGTGATATCCATGTTGGAAATTCCCATGGATTGTTGCCATCTCACACTTGTAATACCCATCATGATTGATGGCCACTGGATCAATCTGAAGGTCGGGATTCTGATCAGGTCTGGAGGCCCAGGTTATTCTCTCATCAGTACAATTGGTGTCCAAGGACTCATTTGTTTCACTTTTGTAGGATTTTTTGCAGGAAGGCTTGTCTCTAAGGTTTATTTCCCACGTTATTATCAATGTTGTCGGTTGGATAGGAGGGCAACTGAGCACAGCCTTTTTATTGATTGATACAGGACATGAAGAGTTAACTGGACTCACAACAGGAAAATGGTAAAAGAAAAACTTGATAAAGAACTTCATGTGTTAAGTTAATCCACAGCATATTGTATGAAGCTATTATACTATAACATAATTTAGCTGGTGGTCTTAATTACAGAAATATTAGATTTTCATTCAAAATTAACATCTACAAAGTATAAATAATGTATTGAACCCACCCCAGTAATTAACAAATTTTCTCCCATATGTTATGCATTATTAGAAAAATAATATATATTATTAACTATTTTGAAATTAATTCAAGAGTTTTAATGCCTAGAAACAAACAATAAAACAAAATTGTAAAGTAAACAACAAAGGCAATGGTCTAATTCTCATCTTCAGGTGGTAGAGATTATTATGGTTATCACACAATTCATGTGCTTCAGGAAAGAAAATGGAATAAGTAGTGATGCGGTTGTCTCCTAAGTTTTTGTGAGCACAAAAAAGGTCTAACATCTGTAAATGTCTGTCTCTAAGGTTGTTATTTCAGACAAATATAAATGTGGAAAGTATATGGTTCTCTCTTTAAAAGTAACTAATGTAGCACTCAGATTGAGCTAATTGGGCTTTTTAAAGTTTATTTTTTATTTACAGAGTAGCAAAGTCAGTGAAATTCACAGATCTAAAAAAAAAAAACTGTAATTTCGCCAGTTAAAACCATCCCATAAAAATGAAAAATGATGATGCCTAGTGATAAAAGAGTCTTAGAAATATCTCCTTCCCCTAACCCCCCCCACCCTCCCCCAGCCCTGGCGGCTCCCCAAGGACCCAGAGGTTTCACTGCACAACAAGATGGCAGCAAGTGGAGCTGGCAGGGCTACCGGGGCCAGGAAGCGGGGAAGCCTGGCGACAGGCCACCTGCTGCCTCTGCTGCCCCCAGGACCCTTGGCCTCCCCCATTGCTGCGGCCTCCCGCAGACCGAAGCCGGCTGTGAGACTGCACCATCAACAAGGGCAACTTCACGGTGGTCAAGCGGGCCACGCACCTCATCACCAAGGCCAAGGCATCTTCAAAATATGGGCTTTGGAGTGAGATAGAGTTTTATAATGTTCCTGGATAAACTAGTCCAGCTGCTTCCCTCGTGGTCAATTGAAGACGAGACCCAGGAACTAGGAGCAATGGGAGTTATTCCTGCAACCAGATTACAGGGAGATGGGCGGCATCATTATCAAAAACCCACTCCAAGGTACTTACTCAGAATTTATATTTTATAGCCCCTCACCTACTCCCAAGGCTAAATTAACAAGGGCGTGACTCAAGATCTCCTAAGAATCCTTTACCCACCTGAGACTTAATTCCTTAAGCGGGGGATGAAAAGTTACAACAATCAAAAGAAGCTACCTTGGTACATTTAGATAAATAACTTTGAATCAATCCAAGGCAACCTACAGATTCAATGCAACACCCAAAATTACCAACATCATTCTTCTCAGACTTGGAAATGACAATACAGAAATTCATATGGAAACAAAAACCTCCACAAATAGCCAAAACAATCCTCAGCAAAAGAAGCAAAGCAGGAGGTATCCCACATCCAGACTTTAAACTTTACTATAAGGCTACAATAATCAAAACAACCTGGAATTGGTACAAGAGTAGGCATATGGACCAATGGAACAGGATAGAGAATCCGGAAGCAAAACCTCAATTTCTCAACCAACTCATCTTCCACAAAACCTCCACCAACAACCACTGGGGAGAGGAGAACCTATTCAGTAAATGGTGCTGGGGAAACTGGCTGACGACATGCAGAAGAATGAAACAGACCCCTACCTATCACCATACACAAAAATCAACTCTAAATGGATCAAAGACCCAAACGTAAAACCTCAAAGTATAAGAACCTTAGAAAATGCAGGAGACACCCTTATGGAAATTGGAACTGGCAACCAATTCCTACTCAAAACCCCAAGTGCCCATGCCATAAGAGATAAGATAGACAAGAGGCAACTCATCAAACTGAAAAGCTTCTGCAAAGCCAAAGAAATCATCAAGAGAGTGGGGAGACAGGCCATAGAATGGGAAAAAATATTTGCCAACTGTATATCTGACAAAGGCCTAACATCCAGGATATACAAGGAACTCAAACATGCCGAAAGGAAAAACACAAACAGCCCCATTAAAGAGTGGGCAAAAGACATGAATAGACACTTTTCAAAAGAAGATATACGGGTAGCCAACAGACACATGAAAAAGTGCTCAGCCTCACTAATCATTTGAGAAATGCAAATCAAAACCACATTGAGGAGCCGGGCTCGGTGGCTCAGCCTGCAATCCCGAGCTTTGGGAGGCTGAGGTGAGTGGATTGCTTGAGCCCGCGGGTTCGAGACCCATCCAGGCAACTTGGTGAGACCTCATCTCTACAATAAATCAAAAATTAACCAGGCGTGGTAGCGCACGCCTGTAGTTCCAGCTACTTGGAAGCCTGAGGCAGAAGGATCGCCAGAGCCCAGCAAGTCGAGGCTGCGGTGGCCGGGAGCAGCCACTGCACTCCAGTCTGGGTGACAGAGTGAGACTCCAACTCAAAAAAAAAAAAAAAAACTCACATTGAGATACCACTTAACCCCAGTAAGAATGGCCATCATTAATAAAACAAACAACAACAGATGCTGGTGAGGATTCAAAGAAAAAGGAATGCTTCTATACTGCTGGTGGGAATGAAAACTGGTGCAACCTCTTTGGAAAACATTGTGGCGATTTCTAAAAGAACTAGACATTGACCTTCCATATTACCCAGCAATCCCCCTACTGGGAACATGCCCAGAGGATCGCAAATCATTCTATAAAAAGATACCTGCACATGCATGTTTATTACAGCACTGTTCACAAGAGCAAAAACATGGAACCAATTGTGCTGCCCATCAAAACTGGACTAGATTTTTAAAATGTGGTACATATACACAATAGAATATTACACAGCCACAAAGAAGAACAAATGTATGGACTTTGCAGCAACTTTGATGGATTTAGAATCTATCATACTCAGCGATCTATCATAGAAACAAAGAACAGAGTACCATATGTTCTCACTCATAAGCGAACCCTGAACATTTGCCACAACACTATAAGAAAGGGATTGGCAGTAGAGGGACACTGCCAGGGTGGATGGATGGGGTTGGAGGGACACAACATACATAAGGGTACTGATCTCAAACCAGGCAAAGTGGGAACCAAAGGGAGCCCCAAACTTCACCTGTACAATGACCACTTGTATTCCTAATTCTGAATTGTACCCCATATCTTTAAAATAAACAAACAAAAAAAGAAATATTTATTTCTAATTTAAAAAGTAATATGGTAAATAATAGAAAAACAATTTGTTTTTGTATGGACATTTACCAAACAAAAAAAAATTTTACTGCAAATTTGTGACACTGTCAAATGCAGCCTTTGGATGAGTTTTATTTTCTTCCTACATAGTCTCACATGTATCCCCAAGCATTTCAGCTGTAAACTTTGCGCATAGATTTTATTTCTGGGTATTCAATCCAATTATCGGGATTAATAATAGAGGTTGATCCTCTTTGTTCATCTTTTTAAGGAAAAATTAAGCCCCACAACCCGCAAGCATGTTCTAGCATAGAATTTTATGTTTCCCATAAACTGACAGATTATGTCCATGACTGACAGAGGTTTACTTAAAGGTAAGCAGAGGATCACAGTGTCTGTCACTACTCACCTATTACAAGATGTCAGTGATGCCATCCCATAGCATAAGCAGAATGAGCTATAGTGAATAAACCTTGTTTATTCTAAATCCTGCATTTAAGATCTCACCTCTCCTGCTTTGGTGCCACCTGTCTCTTTTGTGATATTCAAGCCCTTAAATATCATCATCAAATAATGACCAAATAACTAGATGAAGAATGAGGGAGGACCTTAACATAGACCTGTTAAATCCATGCGCTCCTTCCACTACTCCAAGTTGGCAAATGTCTGGAGAACAACTAGTGGTTGGGTCATTCAGGGTCTCTTGTACCACAACAGTCAGATCACCATGATCTTCAAGAAGACACAAGGCTGACCTTCAGTCAGACCATCAGCTAATGTTTCTAACAAAGTTCAATTCTCCACTCCTGCACTGCTGGCCAATAGATAAAGAAGCATATTACCTTCTGTGGGAGGTGATGAATTGTTCAGTGCCGTCTGTTTTCCATCCGTCAATGAAATACTTGAAGCTAGAAAATATTTAGAGAAGAAATAAAATACATCAATTGCACTCATAGTGGAAGCCACTGTTTCTTCATAAAGTCTGATTGAACATGACAGACAATCATAACTAAAATAACACCAAAATACTGACAACACTGAGACACAAGATACCTAATGTCATCAACTCTTTTTTACAAGGTAACCCTGCCTCCACCTCTTTCTAATTACCCAACCATGGGATTGACCCATTGTGGGCCCTCAGGTGAGATGTCCAATGATACTTCTTTCTTCATCCACTACATTTTTTTTTTTTTGAGTTGTAGTCTCACTCTGTTGCCCAGGCTGGAATGCAGTGGCACACTCATGGCCACTACAGCCTCCACTGGCTGGGCTCAGGAAATCCTTCCACCTCAGCCTTCTAAGTAGTTGGACAGATGCCATTTCTTAATAAAAGTTGTTTCAGTGGCTCAGCCTGTAATCCTGCACTTTGGGAGGCTGAGGTGAGTGGATTACCTGAGCCCGCGGGTTCAAGACCCCGCCTGGGCAGCGAGACCTCATCTCTACAATAAATCAAAAAATAAGCCAGGCGCGGTAGCACATGCCTGTAATTCCGACTACTTGGAAGCCTGAGGCAGAAGGATCGCTGGAGCCCAGCAGTTCAAGGCTGCGGTGGCTGGGAGCGACCACTGCACTCCAGTCTGGGCGACAGAGTGAGACTCCAACTCAAAAAAAAAAAAAAAAGTTATTTGACCCCATGTTGGACACTTCACCTGGGTGGACAAAACAGTGCCCTTTGTCACAAATTTTAGAGCAAAACTAGAAGAAATCCTCATCTTTCTTCCTTTCTCATTTTTCCTACTTACAGGAGTAAAAAGAGAAAAATATAGCATAAGCAGACATCAGTAAGATAACTGACTATAGGTGCCTGGAGCTCACCCCCTCCGCAAAAAAAGGACGAAAGTAATGACTAAGTAGCTGATATTTAACTGGAGTATTGAAGGGAGAGCACTGGAATGCAGCAATGAAGTGGAGAGGTACCCATGGTCATCAGAACCCAGGAGGGCAGCATAAAAGCATCCTGTCTCTGGAGCCTCATCCTCACACACCCTCCACCTGGACTGGGCCGGACTCAGGAGGGATGTCCCCTCACAGGAAAAACATAAGCAGAAAGATCCCTCCAGTCCCTACTGCCACCACAAACACCTGATACAGGAGAATCCCACAGTTCTCGCAAGTCAGGAGCCCAGTTTGGAGTACTACTGGGAATTCATGAGATTGCATTGCTCCAGATGAGGGGCACAATGTATGAACTCACTACCTTCTACCCACCTTCTGTGAGTCAAGTTGCTGCAGCACAGTGCCATCATGAGACCAGAGCAACTTCTTATGTGCACCCTGTTCTGGGGGCCAGTAGGCCCTGCACCTCTCAGCTCACCAAACTTCCATAACCTTGGCTCCACTGCATGGATCCTGGGCCTAGGACTGACTGTGACTCTGGTCCTGCAAAGTAGCAAACTCACCCCTTTTGCCCAAACTTTTGAACAGAGAAACAGACTGGCAGTTCTCTCTGGGGCAACCTGCCGTTCAGCCCAGCAAACTACTGCATGCACTGCAATGATTGGGGAAGGACTCTGTGCTGCCAAGCAGCTGACATGCCCCCAGGCCAGCTGAGCAGACATGCATTCTCCCCCAGGGCCTGGTAAACAGATCTGTGCCCCTCTCTCACACACCAGATCCTATGCCTGTCCTGCAATCTCACACTCAAGGACCTGAGAAAAAGTGGCGGGGAAGGGAGCATCACTCCCTCAGGACATGCTTCCAGACCTACATTGCGACCCACACTCACAAGCAGGAATAAAAAACAACAAGGTAGATCTACTGCCAGTGGCTGTGCCCCCAGGGCAGTCCAGCAGTCACACAACCATGCCCAGGGCCTGTGAAAGCCCCAAAAGCTCACCCCTAGCAGACACAACAGGCCTGGCAAGTGGCTCTGTGACCAAGCCCAAGGCCTGAGAAACAATTCAGCGGACCTATCCCCATTGGTGACTTGCCCAGACCAGCCAAATGGCCACATGCCCATGTCCTGGGGTTGAAAACAGCCTGCCTATCCTGGACACAACCCCAGACTGACTGAGCAATCACACATTCACACTCAGGACCTGAGAAATAGCAGGTGAACACACCTGCAGGCCAGTTGAACAGAAATGTGCCTGCATCCAGGGCCTGAGAAAGAACCTGTTGGGGCCACTCCCAGAAGACATGTGTCCAGACTGGCTGAGTGGCTGTAAACCAAACTCCAGGGCCAAAAAACAAAAAAACAAAAAACAGTGCAGCAGGACCTGCCCTGGCAGACACATGCTGAAGCTAGCCAAGGAGCCATGCACCTGTGCCCCTGGCCAGAATAAAAACCACATGGCCCCAATTCCAGAAAACACCACCAAGTTGGATAACCCACCACATGTACACAACTGAAAAACAACTCAGTGAGGCAGTCTCTGGCAAAGCCATGCCACTGTTGCCACAAACTCTAGTCACTTAGGCCACTGAGACACTTGCAAACATCGCAACCACGGTTTATAAGTGAAGAAACTGCATGGAGACTATGCTACTGCATCCACCTAGAGTCAAAGCCAATACAATCCACTCAATCAACACTCCAAGAACCATGCATATGGTATAATAAGTTTTGTACTGTGAAGCCTACACTATACAGTTGGAAAGGGTGAAGAACAGAAATATATCAGAACATAACAAAATTCAGCCTAAAAAGAAATACAAAAGATTGTTTCTTCTTAAAGATTAACAAAATTGACAAGCCATTAGCTAGATGAACTAAGAAAAATATAGACAAGACCCAAATAAATAAAATCAGAAATGAAAGAGGAGATATAATAATTGGGACTACAGAAATAGACAGGATTATTATAAATTATTATGAGCAACTAAACACCAATAAATTCAAAAGCCTAGAGGGAATGAATAAATTCCTGGATATATATAACCTATCTTGATTAAACTAACAAGAAATGGAAATAGAAATGAGATTGAATCAGTATGCAAAATCCCAACAAAGAAAAGCCCACTACTGAAAGGTTTTACAGTTCAATTCTACCAAACTTTTAAAGGAGAACTAACATAAATTCTTCTCAAATTATCACAAAAAACTAAAGGGAAGAAATTTTTTCCAAACTTATTCAATGAGGCCAGCTCGATCCCAATACAAAAACCAAATAAGGACACCAAAACAGAAAACCGCAATCGAATGTCCTTAATAAACATAGATATAAAATTCCTCATAAAATACTAACAAACTGAATTCACAGTTCACAATGTGCAGAATGGGAGAAAAATCTTTGTAAAATATTCATTCAACAGGAGAGTAATATTCAGACTATGCAAGGAACTTAAGCATTGCAATAGCAAAAAAAAAAAAATCTAATTTAAAATGAGTAAATGACCCGAACAGACATTTCCGAGAAGACATACAAATGGTCAAGAAATATATTTTTAAAAGTGCTCAGCCGGGCTCGGTGGCTCAGCCTGTAATCCCGTGCCTTTGGGAGGCTGAGGTGAGTGAATTGCCTGAGCCCGCCAGTTCGAGACCCACATGGGCAACTTGGCGAGACCTCATCTCTACAATAAATCAAACATCAACCGGGCGTGGTAGCGCATGCCTATAATTCCGGCTACTCGGAAGGCTGAGGCGGAAGGATCGCCAGAGCCCAGCAGGTCGAGGCTGCGGTGGCCGGGAGTGGCCACTGCACTCCAGTCTGGGTGACGGAGTGAGACTCCAACTCAAAAAAAAAACAACAACAACAAAGTGCTCAAAATCAGTAATCATCACATAAATACAAGTTGAAACCACAAGGAAATAAAATTCATCCCAAACTATTATCAAAAAGACAAAACATAATAAATACTGGTGAAGATATGAAGAAAAGAGAACTTATGCACTGTTGGTAGGAATGCAAACTAATACATACTCCATGGAGAATAGAGTGGAGCTTCCTTTAAAAAACTAGAAATAGAAATGCCATATGATCCAGTAATCTCACAACTTGACATTTACTCAAAAAAAAAAGGAAATAAATATGTCATAGAGATATCTGAATATCTATGTGTATTGCCGCAGTATTAACTATAGCCAAGACATGGAATGAACCCATGTATTCAACAACAGATGAATGAATAAAGACAGTGTGGTATATATACACAATGAAATATGATTCAGCCATTAAAAAAAAAAAAGAAATCTTGTTATTCACAACAACAAGGATGGAACTGAAGGACATTATTTTAAGTGAAATAAGCCAAGAACAGAAAGTTAAACACCATATTGAGGCAGGGAGCCCTTCCCCTAAGCCTAATAAGATGAAGGCCTTCCCAGGACAGAGTAGGGCCCCCCTTAGTACAGTAAGATAAAAGCCTTCCCAGAATAATGAAAGAGTTCTTCTAGCACCATAAGAACTTTCTTGGAAGACTCATGTTAGAAAGGAATGTAGCCCGAATCTGTAATACACATGTGTAACTCTGCTGTAACCTTGAGATGTGAAATACCCAATTAGTCTGTATGTTAGTAATATATAAGCCTTATTGGGGGGACACAAAAGCTAAAATTGTATAAAAGGCAATGGCCCCCTGTGCTTGGGGCTCAGCCTTTGGATGTAAATCCACCGAGCCAGTGCTGGCACAAATAAAACTGCTTCCCGGCATCGGTGTCCCAACTCTCTGTGTAAAATCCTGCCACATGTCATTCCCACTAATATGCAGAAGCTAAAAAAAATATATTAATTTTATAGAACTAAAAAGCAGAACAGAAATTACTGGAGACTAGAAGGGTAGGGGAAAGGAGAGAATAGAAAAACATTTGTTAAAGGGTACAAAATAATAGCTAGATAGGAAAAACAAATTCTAGAGTTTCATAGCACTGCAAAATGACAATAGTCAACAATAATATATTAAAATATTACATATCAAAGACCTAGAAGAAAATATTGAATGTGCCTGACACAAAAAATAATAAATA